TGAGGCTAAAAGTAAAGGCAAACCATCCCTTGATATCATTAAGTCATCACTGTTAACTCTTTCCTCCCTGGAACCTGTGGGATTCCCCCCTTTCCCCTTCCAGCTTCCCTTTTCCCTGCAGCTCTGGAAGAGAGGGCTGGGGCTGTCTCCTGGTTCGTGCCCCTCATCAGCACCATCTCTTTTCTGCTGATTGTGTTATTCACATGGAAACTCTGGAACAGACAGACTCCCACAGACCCTCCTGATTATTCTTCCCTCCAACTGCACAGCATTACTATCAACAGACACCAAGCATTCCTCAATTCTTCTCCCTAAAATAACACTATTATGAGAAGCTCTGTATCCTGCCAGTCATCACTTCAGCCCTTGTTCTTCATCTTCCCCCAAAACAGACAGTTATTGTCTTACTTTCCTACCATACAATTTTCCTTTGACAGTTCAAAAAGAAAGTAAAAATACTAGGAGAGATGAAGGCGAAGTCTGGGGTTTGTGTGGTCTCAGAAATCTAAGAAGTTAATTTCTCTCGGTACCTCTGTGGAGGAACCACTTGTTGCTTCTCTTGGTTGTTAAGACGTATTTTCTCTCATACAATGGAAGAGCTGTGTCAGAACCAGCAAGTCTTTTGGCAAGTTGTAGGATGAAACAGCTCCCATGAGCTGAGCATGATGCTTTTTGGGGTATTTCCATGGGAGCTGCCCCACCATGCCCTCTTCCACTGATTTGCTTCTGATATTAACAGTAAATTTGAATCTTGCAAATATAATCTAAAATTTAAAAATAATTTCTTACCTACAAGCTGGCTTTTATACTTGTAGGCATTGTGTCACATAGGTTATATATTTTGATTTTAATATGAGGCAACATAATGAGCATTGCAATCAGTGCAGGCTCACAGTAGTAAATGTTTATAAATTACTACCATATGCTGATTCAAATAGAACACATTTTATTTAAAATAATTATCAGACTTTTCACCTTTTTTAAAATGAAATTTGGGGGTTGGCAGGTTTAATATGGATTTAATGTGTTTAGGATAGCAGATGATCAAATAAGGCATAAGAAATTGCTCTTATTAAAAATCTGGAAAACCCATACACAACAAACCATGCCTGCTTTCCAGCTGGAATGTGCTTGCTTCTTATTGACCAGGATACGAATCAACCAGAAAATGCAAGACAGATGATGGTTTCAAGGCTGTGTCTGCACCACAGATTGTATTGGAGATGTCGTAAATTATAATTTAGGATGCATAGGAGTTACATAAATATCCTTATTTTTTCCCTCGCATTACAATTACAGTGCAGCAGTCTCTATAATGTGCTGGAGTTGATATGGCAGGTGAAAAAAAGAGGAAAAGAATGAAAAAAAGTAGTCTTGGAATAAAAGGCTTGGAAGTGAAAGCCTGGAAGTGCTACTGTGGGCTTCAGCAGACTTTTGTGACCTTCACTTGAGGGCTGTGCTGGGAGCAGAGCTGGCTGAAGCACAGCAGCTGGGAACTGAGCACAGTCTCACTCTTGCAGGTTGCTGAATAATTTTGGAGGCAACGGTGACCTCAAGTTCCTGTAGTTAAAACTTTGCCCTAAAACAGGAGAGCTGCTGCAGCAGTGGGGTCCTAGACCCACAGACTTGTCCGTGTTCCAAATTGTGTAGAAGAACTAATAACCTCCTTGAAAAAGGGGTGTTGCTGTAGGATTGAACCTGTCCATGTTAAAGAAATACTCCTGAGCTACTGGATAAAAGGTTTAATATTTAGAAGAGCTGCACAACTCATGTGGCTGTAAACTGAGCTGGTATTGAAACCTCATGGATCAGTTAAAATAAAATTCTTATCCCTGTTCCAGAGTTTTACTGTAATGGTCAGCAGTCCTCAACCTATGGCTTGAAAAAAGGAAGATGTCCCTAGATCTGCTGCTGCTTCCAGCCACATGAAGCCAGTACTTTGATCCAGGCTGACAGAAGGCAATGGACCACAATGCCTGGGTTGCTTTGCTCACCCAGTATTCCTGCCTGTGGGACTGAGAAGGGTAGAGAACGGTAGCTAAGGAATGCTTAAAATAAGAACACACACTTTACTTTGGGAGGTTTTGCTTTAGTGGTTTAATATGCTTTATTTAAAGGAACAGTGATTTCCTGAGCGGGGATGGACAGGGAGTCTATAAGAGGAACAAAATAGAAGAGAAGCAGCAAAATTGAGTTACAAAGCAGAAGGTGAACACTGAGCCTGGAGCTGTCAGTCAATTAATAAAAGTTATCTTTCATCATCTAGCATAAATGAACATGGGTTTTCATCACCCATTTGATGTTGTCATGAGGGGTGTGAATGCAAAACCATAATTTCTAGTATTTGCAAGACAGGAAAGTTAAGTAGAAGAGCGATTGCAGGTAAAGATCAGGGATTAATTTCCACATTTTTACAAAGCTCATTCTGCTTTTCTTGCCCTCACTACCCCAGCCTTTTTCAAAGCAGTTTTTTTGTTCATTTAAAATTATATCATGCCTTAGTAATGAGTGTGAGACTCCTCATGCTAAGGTAAAGTAGGTAGAAATAACTTGCTTCCCTTGGTTAGTAGGATTTAATATTTTCTTGCCATAGATTTTTTATTCGTAGGAATGCTTAGCTCCAGCCCTAGAAGACAACGAGAGCCATTAAGCTCTGAAAAATCACAGGAAACAGTCAAAACCTTGCCAAGTGTTTCCTTTCTTTGTCAAATTACAAAGCCATAAGTGCCAGAAGTGTTGTTCCTACTGGGGTTTAAGCAAAGTACCAATCTTTCAGAAAGATACCCCTGGTCCCATTGAAGTATATGGAACAACCTGTGGGAAATCAGTGGCATTGTTCATGTGAATAAGATATATGTGCTCCAAGAAATTATTCTTAGTGCTTTTCTAATAACACGGTGTTGGAGCTTTGTTTGAATGGGACTCCCCACGTCAGGAGCATGTGCTGGGAATGTTGGAGTGGCAGTGCTGCAGTTACCTGGTGTCTGGGATGGTTTATTTTGTGCCAGAGCCCCAGAGGGGATGCAGGGAGTGTGTGGCTGTCAGAGCTCACCACAGCCAGCAGCCAAGCAAGAAATCACTGAAGGAGGTCTCCAGGTCAAGGCTACTGGGGCTGCAGTGTGAGAGAAAGGGATTAATAACCTGACTTAACACCTCTGGTGAGCTGCCTATGTTTCTTCATTTTGGTACGTCCCAAGGGGAGCAGGTTAGGGTAGGTGGTGAAGAAGTGCCGGCACCACCATCTTTTTATTTAAAATTTTAACCACTCTTCTAGGCAGAATGTGAGTGACCAAAGCCAAACTGCCCCCTTCCGTGGGCCTTCCCAATTACATGGCACTGGGGAATAGACCCAGTGAGGGAGGATAACCCTATGTGCCACATCTCCCTTCCCAGCAGTCCCAGTGCTCTGCTGAAAGGAGAAAAGCCACCATGATTACTCAGGGCAGAGGAACACAAGAGGGTCTCTCATTATACAGCACATTTAGTGGTGGGGACACACACCTCAGAGACAACAGAGGTAGAGTTTGCCCCCTGCTCTGTGGATCATTTTTGGTACTTCATTTGGTGGCAATTAACACAAAAGGTTTAAGCAGTGACTTAGAAGTGAGGCCACAGTTTCTTCCATACCAGCGCTTTAACTGTAGGGGCTCCAGAACCCTGGTCTTCCTTTGGCTCCATAAGATCTTTCTGCACAGCAGTGAATCTGCAGGATTAATGGAAGCATTGTATGTGACATCATGCACCCAAGTTATCTTCAGTTCTGCCCAGGTAGGACATGTCAGGCCTGGGAGCAATGTGGCACTCAGAAACAGAGGGCTTCAGTCAGGATCCGGGGTGGAAATCTCACTACAGCATCAACCAGATCATCCCCTGGAGTCCATGGCATTGCTTCAAGGATAAATAAATCCCTCCTTTGGTCTGCAAGTGCTTTAAATTGGTTGTCTGAAGGTTTTCCCAGTTGGCAGGATATTTTTGAAGTGAAAAACTCTGGATCTCAAGGCACTCAAGAGTTCTGTGGAAGGTCCTGAAGAGCACACACGCTGACTGGCAGACTCTTCTCATAGGAATGAGGTCTGTGGGGTTAAGCATTTTGTGATATGAACAGACCCAAACCTTCTAAATTTGTTTCTGTAGCCACCAGGTAAAAGCAGACCTGCCTGCTCCTTCACCTGCCCTGTCAACCTGGGCATCAGAGTGAGCATCTCATGCCTGCTTAGTTTGTAATCTGAAATTTATTTTCTTTAGGCAAAACTTGATCACAACTACATCACCTCTGGGCATGCACAGGAGCAAGGATTTTGTCTCCTTAATTTTGTAGTGAAACTGACAAAGTATAATTTCTGTGTAGAAGGAAATGGTCACAAAGTCTTTTTAGGAACCTTAGAGGGAGTGTTTCATGTTTAAAGCACAAAAAGTCCAGCTGAATAGAAAGGGAAGTAAGAGGAGCTTGTGGGGCATGTTCAGTGAACAAACGGGACTATAAACATACCCTATAATATAAACATACCATAAAATTCACTGGGTAGATGCCCAAAGATCCAAAATCCATTGGTTCTGAAACTTTCTACAACTATTATTAACCATGTTATATGTAAAACCAGTGGGTTAAAGCTGAAGGATCCCAACCCTCCACATGACGAACGGAAGGTCAACTCCTGATCACACTTCACAGGGAACACAAAGTGCTCATGTGCTTGATCCACTTGGTGTTTCTCATTTAACCAGGAGTTAATTTGGTGTGGCCTCAGAGAGGAAGAATTTGCTCTGGGAGGTGGTTTTTTGCACTGCTCATAAGTAAAGGTTTTGTTTTGAACTATGGCTTACCATTGGTGGTCCTTTTCCAGGGAAGATTTCATAATATAATTTTTTCTACTTTTAACTTGATGTGACTCACTAAAAAATGGAAATATTCAAGCATTCCCATGCAGTAAGTACTACATGTTGAGCCTTGCAGCTGCTGGCTGCCAGATCTAACTCTCCCTGTCTGTTTGCAATTGCAGGAGCACGGAAGTCATGAGTACTGTCTCAGGTACACGAAGTACAACAATCACTTTCACTGTCCGACCCGGAGCCAGCCAGCCGATCACACTGCAGAGCAGGTCCCCAGACTATGACAGTAGGACCTCAGGAGCAAGACATGCTCCAAGCCCTGTGGTTTCACCAACAGAGATTAATAAAGACATCATACCTGCCTCTCTGACTGCTTCTGCTTCAGCTTCATCTCCTTCTCCAACTCTGTCTGATGTATTTAGCCTACCTAGCCAGCCCCCTTCTGGGGACTTATTTGGCTTGACCACAGGGCGCAGCAGGTCTCCTTCTCCCTCAATATTACAACAGCCAATCTCAAATAAGCCTTTTACAACTAAGCCTGTCCACCTGTGGACTAAACCAGATGTGGCAGATTGGTTGGAAAGTCTAAACTTAGGTGAACATAAAGAAACATTCATGGACAATGAAATAGATGGCACACATTTACCAAATCTACAGAAGGAAGATCTGATAGACCTTGGAGTGACTAGAGTTGGGCACAGAATGAATATAGAAAGAGCTTTGAAGCAGCTGCTGGACAGATAAGAATAGCTATTTTGCCTCACAAACTTCTGTTGATAACTAGAGATGGGCTGGTACTGACATACCCCAAATGCCTTGTGTGTCTGCGAGTGCCAGCAAAATTGGGGGATGGGGAAGGGAAAAACAGTTGAATTCCTGGTACTCAGGTGATGCAGACTGTATGCTACATGCCCAAACACAAATCTAAAGATGTTAAAGTAAGTGGGGCCATTTTATTTCAAAGTTGTGGGGAGATATGAGAGAGAGACAATTGTTAACTTCAAAAATACTATCTCTTGATGCCCTTTGCTGGGATCGTGATGTACTGCTTTTCCTTCCATTTCAAATTGCAAACATTTCAGGGCTTTTATTTATTGAGAAAAAGAAAAAATAATTGAATTTTATTTTTTCTCTTCTTGACCTTCAGTCTCCGAGCAGGCTTCCTTCCCCAACTCTTGGCTCATTTTAAGAGTACAGGTTGCTTCATTACCATTCAAACCCATTTTTTTTAGGAGCAGAGGCATGATATTGAGATGGGTACAGGAGTTCACGTTACTCTTTTTTACTGGTTTAGCTCTCTGATTTGTTGGCAGTGAAGCTGGTTGTTCTGCTGGAAGTAGTTCAAAGGTAACCTTGCTCTGTTTTACCTGGTATTTCTTTATTTCTGCAGTTATATTTAGCACTCTTCCAAGGTGGCAGAACAAGTTCAATATACGCTCCATTGACTTGACCTGTAAGATAATGCAGATGTTGCATAAAACCCAAGGAGGGATGCACACTTAGAGGTACAATAAAATGAAGCTAGTTTGAACCTGAGATCCCCAGTTTTCAACCAGCTAAACCACTGCTAATTCACAATGTGAACTCCACAAGACGGGAAAAATTTTGGGTCATGTGCAGATGCATCTTTTGGACTCAAAAGTCGGACACTCAAATATGCTGGGCCCTGAGAGGTGCTGTTTAATTCAGTGAGTGGTAAGTGCTTAGTTATTTTCGACATCAGGCCAAAAAAGAAGGAAAAAGGCAGATGAATGTTCCCATTGAAGTCAGTGGGAAGGGTGCCAGGATTTTAGGATTTCAGCCTGTTAGAAATGGAAATGTTTCAGATTGTTTAAAAAAAAAAAAAAAAGACAAAAAGGTGACACCAAGATGGAAAGAGATGTAGAGTGTCTCAGGATGCATGTATTCCAAGAGCCCAAGAGGTTTGGGGAGGGCTCCAGTGTCTCATTTTATCACTGTTAACAGGTATTGGCTTCTTGACAGGCACAGGGTGCTGGGGGGAGGTGGACGCTGCTCATCCTTTCTTTACAGGACAGATGTGTTTACCCTGCCAGAAACCAGGGCTGGGTGCTGGGGGCAGAGAGAGCTTTCCAGGAGACTTCAGTCAGCAGGGGAGAAACACCCACATTTGGTTCACATGACTTTTAAAAAAAATTTCTTTTTTATTTTTTTGACATAAATTTTAAAGTTAACAAGTCTCTCTCTACATGTTTGGACTCCCCTTGTAATTAACACCTCTGAATATCTGTGAGTTTTGTAGGTCTTTATGGACAGAATATTCAAGATGTTCAAGGTGGGTAAATTGAGTGTGGATGGCTAAACTGCCTACCTACCATACTTTCAGGTTCTCTTACATTTTACAAGGTACCTGACTTTCTTTCCTTGATATGGTCCTTGATATGGTCCAGCCTATCTCTAATTTTTTTATTGTGATTATTTTTTGCTCACAAACAAATGTCTAATTAGGTCTGCAACAGCCCTAGTATGAGTACATAAAGTTTAGCATTTTAAATATCTTTCTTTACTGCAAGTTTAAATAGTTGTACAGATAGTTTATAAGCACAATATTTTAAGAAAATAAGTGGCTGGTCTACTGGGCAGCCTTTGTGCCACTTCAGTGCTAGGAAGTTAAAAACAAGGAAAAAAAAAAACAACAAAAAAAAAACTTTTTGTGGTTTACTACTATTTCTGTGGAATAGTAAGTCTTGACCTTTTTAAAATCAACCTCATTTGGATGCATCTGAACCAGCAGAGCTGTGTTATATTTTCTATCTTTGCTAGAACTTCTACAGAGGAGGATGAATATTTCTTCAAAAGTGGTTGTAGTTACCAACACATTGGATACTCACAAAAAGCAACTTATTTAGCCTCCTGCCCCCTTTATGGAACAACAAATATTTTGACCTAACATCTGTTACTACTCTATATTTGTATTTGGAAGTTCCAAGGAACCTTGTAATAAAAAAAATGAAGTACTAAGTCATTTTCCTTTCAAGAGTACTGAATTTTTCCATAGGTGGTGTAGAAAATGGCAGTTCCACTCAGATAGTTGATGCTGGCAACTTGAGGCCATCACATACTTTAAGAAGTGAAAAAAATGGTAATTTAGCCATCTTTGTCTTCCATTTGGTGATACGACAGAATTCAGTAAATAAACCACTAATGCCATGCTCTTTTTTCTTTTTTTGTTTGTTTGTTTATTTGTTTTTGGTTTGTTTTGTTTCTTTGGGTATAGTTGCTATTACCTCTATAACATGTGCCAGAAGTACATTAAAGAATAACAGTAGTAAAAGAAAATGTAGAAGTTGACTTTTAAGCTGCTTTTGAATCACAACCTTGTTGAATTTCTGTTGAACAAGTGCTGACACACCTTTTAAATTCCAGTTGACATCATCCCTTTCTTACACAAGTGTGTTTCTTGCTCTCCTGCATCTTTTCAGGCAATGAAAGAGTAGGTGCAATGCAAGGAGTAGAAAAGAGGTTGAACACGTTAAAGAGCCAACAAAATAGTTGATTTTTTACACTGTGTCTTACAAAATGAAGGTAAGGAGACCTGAGAGGACCTACTTTCACCACGAAAATACACCTCTGCCAAGATGAATTGGTGTCTAAGTGGGGGATGGTTTGGCTACAGAAAGCAATAGTAACAGATAACGACATCACCTCTGAGTGTTCTCACCAGTCTGGAAATGTTGGGGGGGAGGAGAGAAGACCCATTTCTTTCATGCTACTCTGATAGTGAAAAACAAGTCGTTAGAGATCTATGATATTCTGGGTTTTAGGATCAACTTTTGTTTATATACTGTAATTTAAATAAATTGCATTTACATGCCTAGTTTCTGTAATATTTGTGTATACAATACCAAAATCCTACAAGATGTAAATTGTGTATAACTGCACAGACTCCTTGCCCTAGGTGTCTGAGAACATTTTAAGTTTAATTCATATATTATAAAATTACTAGATGTGACTGTTGATTTACAGAATTTACATATCACAAAAAGTTAATTATTTGTGGTACTTAAGTTAATAAAAAAATAGTGAATTCTTTTTCTTTTTTCTCAGTTCTTAAAAAGCATTACCCAGTTGATCTGGCGATGATTATGTGTATGAGCCACAAATATTGATAATTTTTCCATTACATTTTTTCTTTTCTTTTCTAGATATTAATATGTTTCTCGCTATAGTTTGTGTAACAACTTGTGTTCACGTTATCTATGTTGCTGTAATTTTTGTGCTTTAATTCCTCTTATTTCAACTGATTAAAAAAATCAAGCTCCTGTAACTTGCACTTTTCCCCAATCCTTAATACTCTTGTATGGCAACCAAAATTACTGTAAGAAATAAATATAATATTGCACTAAGGTTGTGGTTCTGATTGCAAACAGAGAACACTGTCTGGATTTTTATTAAAAAAAAAAGTTGCCAAAAAACTTGCAATTTGTTTTGAAAACACATGAAATGCTTTAATGAAATGTAGGTAGAATTAATAGAAAATAATTGATTTATTGTTGGGAAAAAGCATTTCCTCTTTATTTCTTCTTTTTGGTTAAAGCATTTTTTATGCTGAATGTTCATGTACTGAATTTCAGGTTCATAATTGAAGTTTGGAAAGTAAAAAAAAAAAAAATTAGGAAGAGATAGAAAACTTCGTATCTATTTGCCTTAAGGTGGATTTGGAATAACCATGGAATGTTCTTTGTCCTGGCTGAGCATGGGGGGAGGGATGCATGCCCTGAACTCAGTGCTACTGGTCCTATTCTGTTCTGCAGTTTAAAAAGGCACTGAAAAGTGGGATTTTTTTTTTTTTTTTTTTTTTTTTTTTTTGGGGGGGAGGAGCTGGAGATATTGTAGGACAGAGTAGTTTTCCAGAGGAGAGAAGGGAACAGTGCTCCTTGTGACTTAAAAACTGTACCAGTGGGGTCTGGTTTTACTGTGAATAAACAAGGCTTCAAATGGAAAGAAAAATAATGAAACAATTCACATCTTCTTTTGGCTTAAGTTAAAAATTTGGTTTTCTGTCTTTAAATGGTGATGCAATGAAGAATATTTTTATTTTTATTTTCTAAGATATTGGAATAAATGCCTAGAACTGTTGCCATTTGGTTTCATATGTTCCTTAACTACTATTCTCTTCTCAGATGTTGTTCTGGTTCATAATTTTTGTAGCTACTTCTCTCATAATTCTCCAACAACAAATACTTGGCAGCTTTGTTTTGTTAAAAACACAGAAGATAATCAGCCTGTTTGGGTTCTTTTTATTTATTTATTTCAGGTATTGTGGCAATCCAGTGCTAAACATCTTTGTATCTAAATAAAGTCAGGTATTTACAGTCCAAAACGAAGAATGCTTTGCAATTGTCTCTGCTTGTTGGCCAAAGAAATGAGAAGAGTTGATCATTGCTGTCATTGTGTACATTGTATCAATGTGTTATGTTCTGTTTTATTCTTTGGTTTAAGCATTTTTCTGATTTTTTTCCTGTATTTTTCTGCATTTTGAGGACTTTCATTCTTTTTGTCTTTTGATGGGCCATCCAGAATATCACGATTGTAACAATACATCAGAATGTGTGTTTTTCTAAAAAAAAAATTGTATGTGCCTTATAATTTCCAGCCTAGATCAGCTATACTGTATTTAACATAAAAAAGCTTTATCTTAAAGGTGGTTTAGTACCTGACAAACAGAGTGTGCAGTGCTGGGCTTCGGAGGGAGCAGTTAGTGTCGCTGCATTAGGAAAAACAGATAAACTGAATTGATTTATATCTTATTTTGCTACATTTTTTGGCATGACGAGTCTGATTTTAAACCTTCTATTCAAATCAAGTAAATGAGGAGGGAGAAAGTGAAATTAGACTGTTACTTTTTGGTTGTTTATTGCCATAAATACTTGGTTATTGGTGTAGTTGACATGTGCTGTGTTTCACAGACGAGGTAACAATACTAAATAAACCAAGTGGACTTAATGCTGTTAAGTCTGCACCAAACTGGTTCTATACCGCTGACATCTAGTGGAGTCTGATGGACATTGTCTCAGAGCAATAGAAGATCTTTTGCAATATTTCTTTCTTTTCAACAACTGTCATTCTTTCTATGACAAATAGTTTTAGAAGATTTTGTATTATTATTTAAGTTGGCCTCCATATGTAAGTCATAAAAAGGCTGACTCTATAATTACACAAATTATACATGAATGAGGAGTCTTTAAAGAGCTGTAAATGTGTTTTCTAGTCTATGTGTGCTTCTTTTTTCTCAGTTTTATGTTTTGAATGTGAGCATCTCCTTCATCTGCATCCAGCACGTTTTTTAATGGGAATATGGTTTTTTGTCTCCAGTACTGTAAATCTCAGACTGTTTTGACCAATTCCTGACATTGCAATCTGATGAACAGCAGCTTGTTTAGTTCCAAACTCTCCAAAAGAGAGTGAGGTCTTTAGGTCAGGAAGCAGTTCAGAACACCAGGGGGGCTTATTTTCCCAAATGTACTTGCAGAGTTTGGTTTCTCCAGTAAATTTTTTTTCCTCAGGACTGATGCTGGGAGGAATACGTGCACGTGTGTGTGAGTTCTTGTATGCTTTCAATGTAAAGGTTCTTGGGCAGCATTAGAAATTACTGTACAAATAGGACACCAGTGTTGCATGTGCTTAAAAATGTATTGGAATCAATGTCACCGTGTACCTGTTTGCTCTGGAGAATACAATATACAGAAATGTCAAAATCTAATTCATGTTTTAATGGGTTATTTTCTACTCATATTTTCCCATTATCAACTGTCTCTAATCCCCCAGCTTTCTTAAAAGCGATTTAAAGTGATTACTTGTAAATTTTAGGGAAAAAAAAGCCTTGGAATAGCTTAAGCTGAGGTTTGGGAAGAGGAGCTCACCTCTCCATGCACAGCCTTCTGAAACCTCAGATTCCTTTGCCTTAAGGATGTTCTTCTTAAAAAAACAAATCCTGAGGGAAGCATTGCCTTGTTATCACAATGTAAAGGATTCCCAACAGTTTTGGGAATGGCCAAACATGGCTCTTCCCCCCCCAAGCTGCCCCTAGAAAATACTCAGTGAGGAACTACTAATACGTGTACTAATACATTTGTCCTTTTGTTTTGATCTTGTTGGTGCAGCTTGATGGCTCCTTTGAAGCCAAATTCAGACCTGCAGTGGGAAGGGCAAGGTGAGAGCTCCAAGTTTCTCATTAGAGGAGATCAGACAGAAAGGGGGCTGAGACAGAATTTACTTATAATTTACTTATTTTTTTATTGATATGGTTATTTCTTATTATTTCCTTGTCACACACAGTGTTGAAAAATGAACAAAAATTACTTCTTTTTTATCTAGATGTAGTCAAATTGGAGCTTTCTGTCTAATTGATCTAAAAAATACAATTGTGTTAGAATTTTTTTTACTTCAAGTCCTGCTATATCCTCTATTTATATATGATATATAAATATATATATATTCATATATATATGAGACATTGTCTCAGCAATTTCCCTTCTTTACAAAGCATTGGATGTTAGTTTTAATGTGTGCAACAATCTGTAGATCTGTTTACCTCACATGTAAGACTTAAGTGCCCCAGGAACAGATGTTACACTGTACATTTCCCCTGAGGCCATTTGAAATCTCTCATAATGCTAATTTTCTGCATTACAGAGAGAACCCAAACAGGGGTAGTTGACTTCCAGAAGCTATTTAGCAATTTTTAGGGAAGAATTTTTCTTTCAGAGACCACTTCCTCACCTCTCTATGCATTCAAGGCAGATCATTTGCACACCTGGCCTTTTAGTCTGGCATTTCTGCAAATGGTTTCATTCAAACCTGTGTTCTGGTACCACCTTGGTGCAAACTACAACCCTTTAAAGATAAGTCACTAATAGTAGAGCTAGTACTGTTTGTGCTGGTGAAGAGGATGGTTTATTCACAGGGAAGATCAATGATACACTTGAAAGACCAGTGCAGTGGAAAGAGGGAATATTCTCTTGTACAACAAGCAGAGAATCTCTCCATGAATCCACAGGACTGTTGGAGGGGACAGGAAAGAAAACTTTGTCTTGATAAAGACATGCACAACACACAGCCATGAAAAAGGCATTTTGCACAAGAAGTAAGGCCCTATTAGTGTGAGTGGGCTGGAGGGTGTTCACAGGAGCTCATCCAGGCGGGTTCCAGCAGGAGAGGTGTGGGAACCAGCTGCTGTGCTGTAGGATCTGGAAGGGGGGCTGCAGCAGGGTTTGGAATGACTGGGTCTATTTAACCAGGCAAATAGGAGGCTTGAAATGAGATGTCTGCTTTTCCCACTCACATGAGTGGGTGAGCTGCCAGCACAGGGATTGTAACTGAAAGGAACGTTGGCGCTGGAACATGTTACTGATTGGGGATGAATTCAGGATGGAAGCTGGGAGAAAATCCTGACAGTAAGAAGAATGCGGCTGTGGTGTAGTGTCCCACAAGGAATAGCATGGAAGTTCACCACCCCAGGGGCTGGAAGTTCATAAATACAGGAGAAGGCCTGTGTTTATCTCTCATGGCACACGCTTTATCCTGAGCACCTCCTTGCAAACTCATCTGCCAAAGCCATAGGCTTGGAAAAACAGGGTGGAGGGATCCCAGCCTACCCTGGGAGCAACCCCCATTGTTGGAAAGATGGATGGAGGCTCTAAAACAGTGTTTCCCTGCTGGACAGAGGTGTGAGGCGTGGCACCTTCCAGGTGAAGCCCTTATTCTGTAGGAGCTCAAACTTTTTAACCCACCATGGCATGGGAGAGGCTGTGGAGGCTCCCAGGATGAGTCCATTCCTCAGAGAGCAGGGCAGGACAGAAGGGATTGACAGCTGGGAAGCCCAGCTGTCCTGATTCCTTCCACCTGCTAGAGTAGGTGATTACATTCTTACATATTAAATTATTTACTGTGATATAAATTCCTCCCTGTGAGGGTGGTGAGGCCCTGGCACAGGTTGTTCGGAGCAGATGTGGCTGCCCCGTCCCTCGAAGTGTTCAAGGCCAGGTTGGACAGGGCTTGGAGCAACCTGGAATAGTGGAAGGTGACCCTGCCCATGGCAGCAGGGTGGAATGAGATGAGCTTAAGGTCTCTTCCCACCCAAAACATTCCAGGCTTTTATGATTCTATGATGTATTTTACACTGAAAAAGAATAATTAGATTAATATTGAAGCACTAGATGAAGCACTGGAGCAGGGAAACAAAAACCTAGGATATGCATCTAAGTGATGCCAAACCTGGCTGCAGTGTCAATAAATTTCAGGGGAGAGGGGCAACAATTTTTTCAGGCAAGATAAAATCCTGCCACCTCTGCACAAGCAGTGCATCCTCTTGTCAGCATGAAACAAGTGAAATAAAATAGC